TATATGTTATCAGTTAGTATGTATCAGTTCGCGCATACCACCTATGACGTCACTAGGAAAATAAAGAATAAATAAAAAATAAAAAATAAAGAATGTTGACAGGAGATCTGCATTTTTTGTATTTTTTAGGGTTATGGTTAAGAATTGTTTATTTTTTCTGACTTTTAAGTTTGTTTAATTTAATAATTACTAAAACCAGCAGTTCCAAAAATATATTTAAAAATAAAAGACAAAAATCAAAAATATTAATTATCTATTAACATGGATTTGGACGATAATGGGTAAGGATACTACATTTATTTCTATATTCGGTATAAAATTGTTTATTAGGTTTTTAGTTTGCGATGGTTATGGGGACAGAGATGCGGATATCTATGGAAAAGTATTATAACATCATTTAAAAAATGTTGGTTGTGAAGTAGATTGTTTCCCATTGAAAAGTAGAAAAAAATGCCAATGCATTGAATGTATTTTAATTGTAATAGAAGTAATTCCAAGGGTGAAATTTATTATAATTAATGACCTGTGCTTTTCTTTTTATATGTAGATGTTTCAGGTTATGAGAATAAATCGGTTGAACGAAACCCAAAATTTAGAGGAAGTACTTGCATACCCAAAATATGCCCATCAAGGATTATAGCTCAAATTTCCTTTAATGGTAGAAATATTAAATAGTTTGCAATATGGTATATCACTGTAAAAATATATTACTTTTATTAGGTACAATTAGGGCCCGATACATTTCAAAAAGTAGAATATTATTTTATATTAAATGAGGTATTGTACCAACAATCAAATTATATTAATACCGGAGATTAAAAAATAACAGAATAAATAGTTCTTTTTTATACTACAAAAATAAACTATAGAATACTATAATATTATAAATTATTTATATAACTTATAGACTGTGGATAACGTAGGGAGAGGCAACATTGCATTCACTCGAAGCCTTATAAACAAATTTCTCGAAACGGAACAATCGACACTCATAAGTTTTTCAATATTTTACGAAAAATGTCAAGAAAAATTTAAAATTTTCAAAAATTTTTTTTTCGGAAAAAACCCTACTGAGCGTGTTGCTCACTGGTAGTTAGTGGTGTTAATATTTCAGAAATTTTTAATTGTTGCAGGAAAATTCCGAAACTTTCGGAAATTTATGAAATTTTAGGAAATTTTACAATTTTACATATTTTTTGTTGATACAATAAAGGAATAAATTAGATAGGCATTTGATATCAACATGTCAACATGTAAGTGGAAAAAGAAACATATAACCTAGTTGTTATATTTTTAATAAACAATACATAACTCATAAAAGTCATAAACATAACACATAACAAAAATCATTTGGTAACATTTGTACTTTGTACATAAACCATCAACTATGATTATGAACTTAAAAAAAACAAAAAAGCACTAAATATAAATTTAAAAAACGTAAAACATAAATAACTGAATTATTCTACTCCGGAATACTTTCAGGCGCCGAGCTGCAGGTCCCATCTTCATATGGTATTATAGTAGTAGTAGTACTGTCTTCGTCAGTTTCTATTTCCAAATCAGATATATTTGATGTATCATCTGGTTCTGATTCTGAAGGATGGACCTCTACCTCTACGGGTTCTAGTGGTTCTGGAGGAGTTTCATGTTGTTGAATATCATGCTCCATATCCACTTTTTCTTTTTGTAGTAATATTTTATTGTTATGAGCTACGAACATTATTTTGCCGACTCTTTGTGCAGTTAAGCGATTCCTTTTTTTAGTATGGATAAAACTGTAAGTACTGAAACTTCTCTCTGTGGCTGCAGATGACGTTGGTAAAGACAGCAGAGCACCAGCTTAAATATTTCAACTGAGTATTTTTACACATTGTTTGCCACCACCTTAGACAGTCTACATTTTTAACTAACATCCAAACGTAGTCGAGAGCCCATAAACCACATACATCTGTAAAAATGGCTTCTTTATTATTGACAAACTGAAGATGTTTGTTGGTGATATTGTTGATAAATTCCATAGCTATGTTTTCTTCATTGAATATTTAGGGTGCTCTCCCAGGAAACAGGGGTCCAAGAGATTCGCGGCAAAATGTATTGATTTGAGAGCCAGGCATTCTTTTTCTTCTGATTTAAGGCTTACTTGATACACTTTCTTGATACACTTTTACTTGATACATTTTCTGTTAAATTTTTGCTCAATGTCTTGAAATGCTACAAAAACTTGAGAGAGCCGACACGTATCAGATTCTAGTAAAGTTATCCATTTTACGATTGGAGTCAAAACTGATATAAGCTTTTGCAGCTGGATCCAAAAGATATCATTATCCAATCAATTTGCCCGAACATTCCTAGAAAATGTAAAGTTTTCTGATATCGTTAGCATCTGCAATGTGTGTTTAGACCTGAATTGCCTTTTGAGGTTATTTTATACATGAAACATTTGCGCGAATATTCGCGACTGTTACCGTATATTTTGAAAAGAAATTTCTTGCAAAATTGGGATTTTTGCGAATATTCGCGATTTTGGGACCGAATATTTCGGAAATTTCCTGCAAAATTCACTGTTGGTAAACGGTGAATTTCACAATTCATCAAACAAGAACACCATTCAAGAACACAAACATCACTATTGGTAGTACAGCAAACTACACTAACCAGTTAAAATACTTGCACTTATTTCTGGGCCAATCTGTATAGTCATTTGCCAGTGATAAGTGATTCTTGAAAACAAGTATTATACAGGGTGAGTTTCCTACGATGTTCTCTATGGGTATCTCGGAAACTACTGGAGATAGAGAGTCCCTTAAATGGGGCAAGAATTGCAGTTTTATGGGGTCATAAATATGCGCCTTTCAGATTTTTGAAAAAGTTCATGGCCTACTAGATATTTCGAAAAAAAACAAATTTTGGCTAATTTAAAAATTGTCCCTAATTCCATTATAATCTATTTTAGACAAAAAGTTTTCAGATAAAAGTTGTAGATAATCACATCCCTAATGATTTTGTGTTCTCCGATTTTTTCTAAAGCCTGTCATTTTTGACACATGACACAAACATATGTTTTTTTAAATGGAAACCATAGTTGGCCATGGCATAATAAAAAGCGTCATTTTTTATGTTTTTCAACGATATGAGCTATAATATGTTTCTTTCACAAAATTACTGAGTTATAGCCAATTATTACCTTTCTTGACTAATTCACTTAGTTAGCCATGGAAACAAGTTCATTCGTCGTTGCTCTCAGAAATGTGAAATTGTCACATCCAATCTTTGTAAATTAAAATAAACAAAAATTGTAATTAAGAGTTTTTTATATGAAGAAAAACGTGTAGGATTATTGGTTCAACTTTTCTTAGCCATACAGTTTCGAGGATACGTTGATCGGTGAACGTTACGTTTTTTAGAGAACGGTTTTCAGGACATGTTAGAAAAGTTAAATTAGATACTCGCGCATTAATAGAGTGGTTCCAACATGACTTTCATTATGATACACCAAACCCCCCCCCCCACAATGAAAGAAATGTTAAACACTATTTATATCATAATTATGTAAACTCAGGGATAGAAAGAGGTGGACCAATTGCATGGGTCTCCTCGGTCACCTGATTGATCTATCCATTTTAGATTTTTTTATGCGGTATGGTTAACAACCAGGATTACAAAAGAACTTATGAATTAAGATTTCGCACTCGAAGAGGCGGAACAGGAGAAGTTTAATTAAGTCGACCGGTGGTTCTGTGACAATAGCTATAAATTCAGTTTTAAAAAGATGCATTTATGTACTCAAAACAATTGCGGATTTTTTGAACATTTTCTAAAATAACTTAAAGTGTACCTATGTAGTAATATTATTTTTTTAAGTTTTAGTTTGTGTAATCTAAATTATAAAGAGCCGTTTAATAATATATTTTGTCTTTTTATAAGTTATAAATCATAACAAAATTAGAACACCATTGAAAAAAACGTTCTGTAAGAAACGTAAGTAACTTTCACCGGTTAACGTATGGCCAAAAAAAGTTGAACCAATAATCCTACACGCTTTTCTTCATATGAAAATTTTTTATTTACAATTTTTGTTTATTTTAATTTACAAAGACTGGATGTGACAATTTCACATTTCTGAGAGCAACGACGATTAAACTTATTTCCATGGCTAACTAAGTGAAATTAGTCAAGAAAGATAAGAATTGGCTATAACTCAGTAATTTGTGAAAGAAACATATTATAGCTTATATCGCTGAAAAGCTTAAATAATGGCGCTTTTTATGAAGTCATGGCCAACTATGGTTTCCATTTAAAAAACATATGTTTGTGTCATATGTCAAAAATGACAGGTTTTAGAAAAAATCGGAGAAAACAAACTCATTAGGAATGTGATTATCTACAACTTTTGTTTGAAAACTTTTTGTCTAAAATAGATTATAATGGAATTAGGGACAATTTTTAAAATAGCCAAAATTTGTTTTTTTCGAAATATCTAGTAAGCCTTGAACTTTTTCAAATATTTGAAAGGCGCATATTTATGACTCCACAAAACTGCAATTCTTTCCACATTTAACCGACTCTCTATCTCCAGTAGTTTCCGAGATACCCATAGAGAACATCGTAGGAAACTCACCCTGTATATTATATTATATAGCCTGTAATTTAGTATTTTATGAATGGTTTTATCTCCAAAAACGAAAACACTACATATATAGTCAGTATTTCAAAGTGGGACAAAATAAAATGAAAGCACTCAATTTCGTGGTGTATTAATATCCAAAGTAGGAGAAAATTGAGATCAAAATACAATTTTATGACATTGTTTTATTGTTATACCGTTTATAGATAGATGTTAATTTATATGCAATGTCAAGCTAAATGCACATGATGCATTTATGTTTGTTTATCTTTTACTGACTAAAACGGAAACATTATTATTTAAATCGAAAAATAATTTGTTTTTCATCAATATTAGAATAATATTTCACTTACGCTAAACATCATATCAAATACATTATTAATTTACTATCGTGTTCAGTGCAGTGCCAATAATGGACTTGAAGCTTTTATTAGAATTTGTGATATTTATATTAAGCCCAAATCATATCGGATGTTTATCAGCACGGCAACGGGTAATATTAATTTTATATTTGACGTATAATTTGATATAGAATCTATTGCAATGTTAATTTATGTTTTAAAAATGTTTTAAAGTACTTCTTGGTAATGGCAACATTAAAATATGCTTGACATTGAAAAGCAAAATAACTTTAATTGGCTTAACTTTTTCTATGCCCTTTGAGGCCTTAATATACCAGTAAATGTATCCAATAAATAACTTCTTCTTTTTCTGGTCCCATATACATCTGGCCCACGGAATATGGTTACCGCGTCCAGTATCCCGCTACAATCTCTAATTTTCCAGAGCGATGAGTGCTGTTTTTTTCTTGGCCCTCTTCCACGCTCAATTTTACCCTGAAGAACCAATTTCGGAATGGCGATGGCGTAGCGAGTTCCTCTCAAAATGTGCCCTAAATATGACATTTTCCGGAACATATGACTAAATATGAACTAAATATGAACTAAATATAACTAAATATGAACTAAATATGACAGATCCGGAACCAAACCAAATTAAGCACTTGTCTTTCGACACCAGCTTTCCTTAGAACTTCTTCGTTTGAATTGTGATCAATATCTTCTTCTTAAAGTGCTTATCCTCTTTGGATGTTGGCTATCACATTGGTCCATATTGCTTTGTTCACTGCCGTTCTGAACAAAGCTGTTGACGTCATTCCGGTCCATTTTTTGTAGATTTTGCAGCCACGATATTCTTCTACATCCCGCTGATCTTCTGCCTTCTATTTTCCCCTGCAGTATGAGTTGGAGTAGGCGGTATTTCTCGTTCCGCATCATGTGTCCGAAGTATTCCAGTTTTCTGCGTTTGATATTCACCAGAAACTCCAACTCCTCTTTGATGAAAGTTGTTGATGTAGTTCTTGCTAATGATCAACGTTTGTCTTATTGCGGTTCATTTTCATTCCGTATCTGCTGCATGTATTCGCCACACGATCTATATGCCTTTGGAGATCTTCAGCGGTATCGGCCAACAGAACGGTATCATCTGCATATCTCAAATTGTTTATTATTTGTCCGTTTATTACCAGCCCATCCTCTGTGCCATCCAGTGCCTCTCTAAACAGATGTTCCGAGTACACATTGAATAGCAGAGACGACAATATACAACCCTGTCGCACTCCCCTCCTTACACTAAACTCTTCTGAAGTTTCGTTCTCGATTCAAACCACGGCCTTTTGTTGACGATAAAGTTTTGCTATTATCTCTGTATCTCTATCTTCTATCACTGATTCCTGTCTGTAAAATCGAGATGAGTTTGTCATGCTGGACTCTATCAAAGGCCTTTTCGAAGTCTATGAAGCACGCAAAGACATCTACATTGACGTCGCGTGCTCGTTGGACTAGGATTGAAAACAATTCTCTGTACAATGGCTCATCAGACTGATTATCCTGAGATCAGAGCATTTGGTCGCATTTGCCTTCTTGGGAAAAAATAAATGATGTTTGGGATTGGACCACCTGTATAAATTTTGTTGAATAGGGTGGTCAGTAGTTGAACTTGTTCCGAGTCCAGCAGTTTAGGCACTTCTCCGTGTATCTGATCCGGTCCGGAAGTCTTGTTGTTTTTCAGACGTTTGATAGCTGTTTCCACTTCTTCCTGTGTAATGGTGGGCCCTATATTGCCAATTCCTGCAGTTATGTCGTCGCTATTTTCGTTTCCGAAGAGCTCCTCCATGGACTGCCTCCATCTTGAGAATTTTTTTATCTGTTTCTGTAATGATGCCATTCATTCGGTCGGTTACGACTCTACCCAAGAGTGAAGTGATTTAATTCTTGAGCCTGTCGTATTACCATATGCCAATGATTTTGGGAGAAACTTCATTCTCATGCATGACAATGCACGGCCTCATACAGCCAGAGTGGTAAGTGAGTTTATCAATGCTCATCAATTAAACATCTAACTCTGGCCGGCACAATCTCCTGACCTCAACCCCATCGAGCACGTATGGGACGCGGTCCAAAGAAGAATATTGAGAATGGAAATGCCTCGTGAAACTCGTAAGGATCTGGTTCGGGCCGTGAATGCAGCGTGGCAGGCTGTACCTCAAGAAGAGATCGACAACCTGATCAGGAGCATAGAGAGACGATGTAGGGCTGTAATGAACAGTAGAGGAGGCCATACCCTTTATTAAGTAAAAATGGTTTTATCTTTTTTTTTAATTCACAGTTTAGAATAAAAAAAAATGTGTATATTTTTTTGAGTTCAATAAAAATCAAGGTAAATTTGAAAAATTCGGTAAATTTCGCATTTTTATTTCCAATACGTCCTGTAAACTATTTGTTTATTTTAATTTTATTATATCAGAAATGCAAATAATAAAATTACTGACGATGGCTGGATAAAATTGTAATATCCCTAGACTTTTCCGGTGTGTGTATTTAGGGATACTTAGGACTTTACTTTGATTAACCACGTTTCTGCCCCATACAAAAGGACGGGCCATACATAGCACATAATCACTCTTAGTCGGAGGTCTAATGGTAAGCGTTGTTGTAGGAGGATATTCTGAAGCCTTCGAAACGTTTTTCTGGCCATGCCAATTCGAATTTTAATTTCCTCGTCGCAGTTCCATTTGTTATGTACAACAGAGCCGAGATACTGATCCACCTGATCAATGATTCCGCTGCTTATAGTGAGATTAACATTTTGAATTTGTCTACTAATCACCATGGTCTTTGTTTTTGAAGTTATATAGCACATACTGTTGTCTTACATTATTTTTTCTATTTAGCAATTTTGGAAGATATTTCATAGTGGAGGTCAATGTAACAGTATCGTCCGCATATCTGCGAATATTAATAGGTTTTCCTTTGACCTTAATACCCATGGACTCATTTTCGAGAGCAAGCTGGAATACTTTTTCGACATAGATGTTAAAAATCATCGGTGACAGATTGCATCCTTGTCGCACTCCTTTGGTTACTTCAAAGGCTTCGGTCGAGACTGTGTCATTGACCTTCACTTCGGCTGTCCGTGTGTGTGGTTCCAATATAGTTTTTTTATGATTTGGATGTCCTTCTCATCTACACAGATCCCATAGTCGTGTCAGAGGTAAATAACTAATGATACAATGTTTTTTGACCATATTAATATGATTTCCAGGCTAAGTTCTGCACGCGCATAAACGATAATCGGTCGGGTATTTCGCGTGCAATCTAAACAAAAAAAACTTACCCCAGAGGTAAGCGATCGATAACCAAAGCGATCAAAAGCATCGAAAATATTTCAATAAAATACTATTGTCAATTTTTAGGATAAATCATTCCACATCTATAAATTAGAAGACGGATGTCGAGAGTCTAACGGATTGACATTACCACTTCAACTAAAAAATATTAAAATCGGAGTAGAAGATACTACTTATAAAATTGCTTTTAATATAGTCGTAAACGAGGACATTTATGAGAATTATAAGGTATGTATTATTCAGAAGGTATAGTCTGTAAAACGAATAACTTTGAATTTGACAGTTCCCGCGGGCTTTTCTAGTGTTAATTTTATTAGGTTAGCAACTTGCGGCCGTGCTGACGCAATGCCGTCTCTAATAGAACAGCCTAAGAACGAGATTTATGACGTCACACTAGTTAGATACTACAAATTAATAATTATGTTGTAGAATACATGGAAAACCTAATTATTCCTCGATTTGTTGGTTTGTATTTTAAAAATAATATAGTTTACATGAAATATACATAATATACAGTTAATAAATACAATATATATACCTATTTATATTAATAAATACTTTGGCAGATAAATTATGAACCATACAAATGCAGCAAATGTTTTACAATATGACTGAAATCGTACTCCATAGTCAATGTAGATAGTTTTTGTGTTAAGAATAATAATTTAAAAAAATATGTGGTCATCTTTTGACAAGTTTATATTAGTTTATTAATTGCAGTAAACATTATAATATATAAATAAATTTTGTGAATGCAAATAATAATACATCACTATTAGTAGATATTGAATGTTTTTTGTTAAATTAGATTGATTTTCGAACCCCAAAATTTAAAATATATTTTACATTTTACCCATTATCTTATGTACCACCTATTCATTATTTTTATATTGTAAAACATTTGCTGCATTTGTATGGTTCATGTTTATTAGCCAAAGTATTTATTACAATAAATCGGTATATATTATATTGTATTTATTAACTGTATATTATGTATATTTCATGTAAACTATATCATTTTTAAAATACAAACCAAAAATACGAGGAATAATTATGTTTCCCATGTATTCTCCAACATATTTATTAATCCGTATTATCTAACTAGCGTGACGTCATAAATCTCGCCTCGTGGCTGTTCTAATAGAGACGGCATTGGTCTAATATTTAGAAATGTCAAAAGCTGATGACATTTTACTTTTGTCAATTATGACATTTCGTGTTGATTTTTGCAAGAAGAGGAAGAATTGTCACTTGTTTTTTATTTTCCTTTTCTATTTCACGAAAGTAAAAAGAGTTACCTATCTGATTCGTTCAGGCTAGTTCAGGCACTCAATTTAAAGAATATCAGTAACTTTTTTGACAGAGGGATTTTATATTTGCCATGTTGGTAAAAAATAACGGTCAAAATTCAAAGTTATTCATTTTATAGACTATAGCAGTTTTATACCAAAGCGTAGAGATGCCATACCAACGTTGAAAAAAAATGCTTAGCTAAATTTACACTTTTTCTGTAAATTCTAAATTTACACTTTTTCTGCCAATTCTAAATTTACATTTTTTCTGTAAATTCTAAATTTACACATTTCCTGTAAATTTACTCTTTTTCTGTAAATTTACAATTTTTCTGTAAATCACATGCGAAATATACTACCCTGCAAGGCGACGCTGACGCCTCTTTATCGACCTGTTCGTTACTCTTCGTTACTCAGTAGTTAAAGGGCAAACTTGTTCTCTTCCAGTTAAGTTGCCATTGTGGCGACAAAGTACAGATATTCGTTAGATATTATGGACGAATACATTAAAACCTACTTTCAAATCGGTTTAAGTCACAAAGGAATTTTGAAATGTACGCTGGATGACGGTTATGTTCTAAGTTTTAAGATTACGTCATTTGCTAAGGCATTTAGGACGACTTATTTTATATCGAAGAAATATTTACACGAACGTTGATATTCTGGTAGGATTTATTGAAGCACAAATTTCGACACTCGGTCAGCTTCACGGCTACAGCTGCATGTACAGGGTGGGCCACTGAAAACTTACAATGGCTATAATTTTTAAACCAAAAAATATATCAATAACATAAAAATACTGTTTCTATAATATCGAGGGGGAATACATATGACGTATTTTTTGAACCACCCCGACCTACCCCTTAGGCGGTACCCCTACTCACTTGAAAATCTCAAATGGCAACACCCCACTTGTGGCGCCTTTTTCGAAAGCCCATGAAAAATGCTAAACGATGATCATAAAGTTTTTAGGGTGAAATTGAAAAACTACCCCTTACACGAAAAATTAGGTGGACATTAATGCAAAAAGTTATTTTTTCAGGATAAGTTACAAATTGGGACCCAGCTCAATGAGGCAAATAAGGTATTTTTCAAACCACCCCGACCCACCCCTAGGTGCCACCCCCTCACTTCTAATATCAAGATAGTGATACCCCACTTGTGACACCTCTTTGGAAAGCGTATAAAAAATGCTTAACGACTGTCATAAAAAAGAACAAAAAAAATGGAGCTAAAAATAAAAAAAATGTCAAAACGTGTTAAAGTCAATACCCCTCCGCATTATTCTATTATAACAGGCGGTGGTTGAATAGATATTATCCAAGGCAATGGATTGGCAGAAGGAGTCCAATCAAGGAGCCGCTAAAGTCACCTGATCTCACTCCTTTAGACTTTTTCTTGTGGGGTTACACTAAATCCATAGTCTACAAGACAAAACCAGGTTCGTCGGAAGAACTGCGGCAGACGATAACTGAAGCATGTCGAAATATTCCGACAGAGACTTTCCAAAAAGTGAGAGAAGAATTTGAAAATCGTTTGTATTTTTATATGGAACAAAACGGCTGTCCTTTTGAGCAATTCTTAAAATAAATTATCATTTTAAATTTCTTTCAAATTGTCACACTCACATTTCGTATCACGACTTACCAGTAATTAAGTTGAAGTCTGTATGACCATCGTTTAGCAATTTCAATTAGCTTTCCAAAGAAGTGTCACAAGTGGGGTATCGCTATCTTGAGATTAGAAGTGAGGGGATGGCACCTAGGGGTGGGTCGGGGTGGTTTGAAAAATACCTCATTTGCCTGATTTAGCTGGATCCAAATTTGTAACTTATGCTGAAAAAATCACTTTTTTCATTAATGTCCATCTAATTTTTCGTGTAAGGGGTAGTTTTTCAATTTCACTCTAAAAACTTTACGATCATCGTTTAGCATTTTTCATGGGCTTACCAAAAAGGCGCCACAAGTGGGGTGTTGCCATTTAAGATTCTCAAGTGAGTAGGGGTGCCGCCTAAGGGGTAGGTCGGGGTGGTTCAAAAAATACGTCATATGTATTCCCCCTCGATATTATCGAAACGGTAATTTTTATTTCTTTTGATATCTTTTTTGGTTTAAAAATTATAGCCATTATAAGTTTTCAGTGGCCCACCCTGTATGCTTGCTGCACTGCTTAAGTGCCTTCAGAATGGATTGGTTGTAGGGGAGAGGTAGTAACAGTGAGACACAAAATTTTAAGACAAAATATCTTTTATATTATAAGATATATTTCACTGCAAATTAATCTCAGTTTTTTGTATGTCGTTAGGAACTAATTAGTAAACTCAGTCAAATGAAAAAACGAAAAACAAACTTAAAAAATGTTTATTAAAAAACGGAAATGCCCCCCTGTTCTAACTCTTGGTCAGAACAATGAGACATTGCTTATGACGTATTTTTAAACTTAAATAAACATTCAAAATTTGCTTTTTAATTCAATGTAACATTATCTTAATTACTTTAAAATATATTTTATGTTTAAATTAGTGAAATTAATTTCAAATTTTAACAAAGATATTTGCCTTTTTGTTAATCCCTGTGTTCAATCATTTTTATATCTTTTTCCACGACCAGTGACAAATCTGGGACATTTGGAGCAAAAAAACTATCAAAGCCTTTTGTACTCTTCCTCATGAATAAAACTTCATATTCATTTTCATTGCATTGTGATATAATTTTTCCCACATAATAGACTTTCTGTTTAGCACTAAATTCTACAAGCACATAGTCGTCTTGAATTGGGTGACGATGAAGACTACCAAAATTTAGTGTCTCAGATTCTAGGCATTCTGTGATCTGAAAAAAACTGAACTATTTAATAGCATAGGAACAGTGATACATTCTTAGTGCTCCATCACAAAGAATGTCTCATTGTTCCTAAATAAAATATTTTACAAATTATTAAATATATAATCCTAGCAATATAAAATAACTGTTTAATATGCTACTTTATGGTTCAACATAAACATCGAGTATTCTTTATGGTACGTACCTTTAATAAAACAGCCAATAGTTCTTAAAAAACGTGTTCTAGAGCAAAACAAAATTTACTTTAGTGTACAGGGTGGGTCAAATTGGACGCTTTTAAATGGAAATACCCTTTTCCATAGGAGATAAACGAAAACTAATATCAGTGTCTGGAGCTCAATTTTTATCAAAAACATGATGGTGAAAACCTCATATCGATATCTGTTACCGTTTCGGAGTTTTTCAAAAATGTGCATTTGGGGGTGTTTTTCAAAAATGTGCATTTTTAACAAATCGCTGTAACTTTTTTGCTATGGAAAATTTTGTATTTTTATGAAAACATTCCCAAAGCATCTTTTTACGTAGAATTTAATGGTTTAAGTATATATTTTTTTAAATTAATAATTTAAGAATTATCAACAGAAAATTTGATTTTTTAAATGGGACACGCTGTATATTTTTAATTAATTGAAAATAATTTAAAATTACTTTTCCAAAAATATAGCATACTCGATATTTTGCTCAATTTCTCTTCGAGATATAGAGTTTATTAAAATTCGCCCACTTTGTATAAGTAGGCTTTGAATGGCGCCGGCTCTAATGCAAAAAAAAACTAGCCGGTGAGCAGCAATTAAAACGAAAATGATATTTGCAATGAGAGATGCAGAATTGTATAACAATTTAAACTATATTTAACCAACATTAACACATTTATACTATATCTAATGACAATAAAAATAAAGAGCAAACCGAGATATGAGATTTTGCTTCAGGTGTTCGACATATCGACCGTCTTCTGCTATGGAAAAACGGGGCGGTTTTTGAACATTTCTCGCGAAATTCATTATCTCAGTGGGGGTGAAAGGTACTCTCTCATAACTGCTAAGTATTTTTAGTTCTTGTCTAGATTATACGGAAGAATAAGGAACCTTTATTCTTCCGCAAATATATCTATAGAATTAGATCCATGGGCACTAAGTCAGGCGGCCTCGGCGGCCAAAATAAAATTTTACTAATAACTTCAGCGTTCAGAGGCGGTGCGTCGTCTTGCTGGAAAAATACGTTTTCAAATTCCATTAAGGGCTTATTATCAATAAGGGGTCCAAAGCCTACTAGTTAAAAGTGGCGAACTTTTAAAAATTCTGTATTTCGAAGGGGATTATGACAAAATATCAAGTGTGCTATATTTTTGGAAAGGTAATTTTAAATTATTTTCAGTTAATTAAAAATATAGAGGGTGTCCCAAATAAAAAATCAATTTTTATGTTGATAACTCTTAAATTATTAATTTTAAAAAAATTATACTTAAACCATTAAATTCTAAATAAAAAGGTGCTTTGGAAATGTTTTCATAGAAATACAAAATTTTCCATAGCAGAAAAGTTACAGCGATTTATTAAAAATGCACATTTTTGAAAAACACCCCGTAACTCCGAAACGGTAACAGATATTGATGTGCGGTTTTTACCATCATGTTTTTGATGAAAATTGAGCTCCAGACACCGATATTAGTTTTCGTCTATCTCCTATAGAAAAGGGTGTTTCCATTTAAAAGCGTCGAATTTGACCCACCCTGTACACTCTTACTGTAATCATGGATAACTGAAACCCGTTTGAAGTGCCAGCCGCGAGGCTTCCGGCGAGTATCAGACAACGCCATCTGTAACGGATTTTGTTTATTTTGGCGTTAAATTTAAAATTGCTTGCTCGGTACGGCAATTGTCTCAGTGTTCTAGCCGTCTCACTGTTACTACCTCTCCCCTAAATCAAAAAGCAGTCAGAGAACTGTTACGCATTTTGGATCCTGATGGAGTTACATTATATCAGCGACGTTGTGTACGAAGGCAACAATACTACAAACCCCCACCCCCCAAAGAAAGGACCCAATTTTCTAGGGCATACCGATTGTTACGACAAATTTAAGCTATTTTGAATTTGCTTAAGAGGCTGTATAGATGGATTTTCACGTTACACTATTTGGTTGAAAGATGGTCCAAATACCAATGACTTGTTGCCACGTAAAAAATTGATTTGACAGAAAATTTGTAAATTTACAGGAAAAGTGTAGTTGCAGAAAAAGTGTAAATGTGCAGAAAAAGTGTAAATATGATCTCACTCCTTTAGACTTTTTCTTGTGGGGTTACACTAAATCCATAGTCTACAAGACAAAACCAGGTTCGTCGGAAGAACTGCGGCAGACGATAACTGAAGCATGTCGAAATATTCTGACAGAGACTTTCCAAAAAGTGAGAGAAGAATTTGAAAATCGTTTGTATTTTTATATGGAACAAAACGGCTGTCCTTTTGAGCAATTCTTAAAATAAATTATCATTTTAAATTTCTTTCAAATTGTCACACTCACATTTCGTATCACGACTTACCAGTAATTAAGTTGAAGTCTGTATGACCATCGTTTAGCAATTTCAATTAGCTTTCCAAAGAAGTGTCACAAGTGGGGTATCACTATCTTGAGATTAGAAGTGAGGGGATGGCACCTAGGGGTGGGTCGGGGTGGTTTGAAAAATACCTCATTTGCCTGATTTGAAAAAATCACTTTTTTCATTAATGTCCATCAAATTTTTCGTGTAAGGGGTAGTTTTTCAATTTCACCCTAAAAACTTTACGATCATCGTTTAGCATTTTTCATGGGCTTACCAAAAAGGCGCCACAAGTGGGGTGTTGCCATTTAAGATTCTCAAGTGAGTAGGGGTGCCGCCTAAGGGGTAGGTCGGGGTGGTTCAAAAAATACGTCATATGTATTCCCCCTCGATATTATCGAAACGGTAATTTTTATTTTTTTATGTCTTTTTTGGTTTAAAAATTAATTAGCCATTATAAGTTTTCAGTGGCCCACCCTGTATGCTTGCTGCACTGCTTAAGTGCCTTCAGAATGGATTGGTTGTAGGGGAGAGGTAGTAACAGTGAGACACAAAATTTTAAGACAAAATATCTTTTATATTATAAGATATATTTCACTGCAAATTAATCTCAGTTTTTTGTATGTCGTTAGGAACTAATTAGTAAACTCAGTTCAAATGAAAAAACGAACGAGTTACATTATATCAGCGACGTTGTGTACGAAGGCAACAATACTACAAACCCCCACCCCCCAAAGAAAGGACCCAATTTTCTATGGCATACCGATTGTTACGACAAATTTAAGCTATTTTGAATTTGCTTAAGAGGCTGTATAGATGGATTTTCACGTTACACTATTTGGTTGAAAGATGGTCCAAATACCAATGACTTGTTGCCACGCAAAAAATGACAGAAAAAAATGATTTGACAGAAAATTTGTAAATTTACAGGAAAAGTGTAGTTGCAGAAAAAGTGTAAATGTGCAGAAAAAGTGTAAATATTGCTAAAAATAATGTTCAATGTTGCGATGGCACTCTACGCCCTTTCGTAGTTTTATAAGCAGTATTATTTGCTTTTAGCTAGAATTTCAATTAGTCAGATGTAAGGACAAGGGTTCATTAAATTCCTGCGAGAATTTTCATAAAATACCGATTCCATATTTCTGTAAGTTTCTAAATAACGATGGTCCCTGGTTACGGTACGTCCAAGCTCTAAAACCACCTCTGCAATGTCCTATGAAAAAGGTAATTATAACAAATCTTACCTAACATACGAACATTTTAGTATTTTCTGTATGCTAAAAGTAAAAATAAAGTAATTCTCTAAATATTAGTGCAAATTTTAGAGATATGTAATATCATGTGAGCCTTTATATTAATGTAACAGATTATTTTCTTTTCTATCTTTTGGGTTTAGTTATTGATTTTAGATAGCACCACTTTAACATTTTCAAAATATCTGTCTGTCTGTTTATACTAAAACTTTATTTTCTGGTAAAATTCCCTAAAAAAAATTGTTTAACTTTAAAAGCTTTGTGAGAACATAAACATAAAAACGCTGAGACGTTTTAAAACCAATAACCACCCTTGATATCATGTTTATCAGATGTTTGTAAGGATCTTGGAATTTTAGAAAAGCACGTACCTAAAACACCACAAGATGTAAATAGCGCTAAACGAAGATTAAATATACAGTGTTGTTCGCCACATACGACACGGAGTATTGTAGCTAAACGATTATATTTTTACAAATTTCAAGTTTTGGGTTCGATGAAGGACTATTAGAGGTACAATTTAAAAATAATTTGACAAGATACAGAGTGTCCCAAATAATTAAAAAATATCAAAGTTGTATTTTTTTAAATGGAACACCCTGTATATTATTACATTTTTAGTTTCTACGATTAAAATAAAGGTAAATTTGATTAAGGTTTATTATACTTAAACCTTACCGTTTTTGAAATATTTTCAATTTTGTGAAATTGCAGTAAAAATTTCAAGGCTTCATTTCTCCAAGGGTATCAAAGTTTTTAATACTAAATATTTACTGAAGTTTATTTATTGATCAGTTATTGTGTTGCAATAATAAAAATAATACTACCTTATATAGAGTGTCTAAAAATTTATTTTATATAATTTCTAGCTTTAAACGCCAATAACTTCTTTAATTTAAATTGAACGCCCTGTATGTTTTAGGAGAATCAGATGCACAATTTAATTGTCTATCAAATTGTATTATACCATTTTTTACCTATCCCTTCAAGTTTTCGTAGAAAATGCATTTTCTTATAATTTAGACCCTATTTATCAATATACCCATGGAATATTGACATTTTAGATTGTTTTTAAAGCAACAAATGTACAAAATGTACAGGCTTAAAACCAATAACCAATAACCCAAAAGAGAAAAGAAAATAATCTGTTACATTATTACTACTGTACCGCAAGAATGAACGTGGTTTATATGTATATTCAGTAAGTACATTCTTACTCCGAATAGAACATATGTACTATTTTTTTCAAACGTTACAAATAATTTCAAATGTTGTAAATAATATAATATAAATATAATATATTATATGAAATACCTTGTATGTAATTATATATTGATCAACATTTTGTACACTAGTTGAACTTGACACTTGATATCAGTTTAATAATATTTGAGAAAAAAATAATACTTTGGTGACGTTTGAAAAAAAATTCTATCGATCTAAACGAGCGACTTTTTTGCGTAATATATTGGTGGCTGATGTGGAAAAATTATAAAACGCGCCGTAGAATTGTTACTGTTATCGGTACCGGGCAAAGATTTAGCCATTTAGGGTAGGGCTTTAATTGGAAATAAGTCCTAATTATTTGGAAATCCGATATAAATAATCTTTTCTATTAAAATAAAAAATTTGATTTAAATCAAAAAAATATGTTTTTTTTTTCATTTTTATTTTAATCATGATTTTTTTCTAAGCCTGATTTGACCTACCTGTTTTATCATCACTTAATACGTGAAATTTCGTTTTATTTTACCTTTATATCATCTAGTTATTCTGCTTATTATTTATTTACTTTGCCGCTTTGCATATTTTAACTCTGTTTTACTTATTTAGCATTCTTAAAAATACGCAGTAGAAAACACACCTGTAGGTGATTAAGGAAAATGAAGTCATATTTGGATTTATTTTTTTGCAGGGTTTGTATACACTTCCCAAAGGTCTAACAGTTGACGTTAAGGAAATAGCGAAACTTCGCTTAGCAGATGGAAGTTTATTTCAGATCCACATCAAATCTTTTGGACATACATCTAATAAACTTTTATTTTGTGCATTTGCTGAGGGACAAGTTGTTTGATAAAACAACATAATTTGTTTTTGATAATTTAGATGTTTGTAAGTTATTTAATCTATTAAAATATAATTTATGTTTCCTTCTGGTTTTATTTAGTATCTACCATCTTATCATGCAAATGACAAAGCTTTTATTTCTTCCTATGAAATGCTTTGTTCGAGCTGTCAGAGTATCCAAACAACTATTTTTACTACATTAGTTTAACTGTGTCAATTTTAAAACTTCCCACCCTTAATATCTTTCTTGCAGTTCAAAATATGAAAAATCGGAAAGACACGTCAATTTTATTCGTAAGAGGGACACTTTAAATTAATATTTCTAGCCTTTTTTTTTCAACTCCCTAGGAGGGGTAGATGTCACCCTTACAATCTTAAATGGGGATGGGGGTCAAGTGGTACATCGTTTTAAAGTACAACTTTTCATAAACTTTTACTTGAAATCGGTGTATACTTTAAATAAGCATATTACTCTCGGCGCGAGAATAATACCCCATTTCCAAAAGTTACTATTCTTATATTAAGTGACCATCCCCAACAGCAACAACGCAACGTGCATTCCTGATTCCTACCTTCATTTCATTGGATTTCTGTTTCTCTCATGCGACACGAGACGCGCCGACTAGTCGGGTAGGTTTATAAAGTTTTTTTGTTATTGTTTTTGCTTCTGATATGTGAAAATGGAGGACTTTATTCAGGCATGGGAGATGACCGATTTGATCCCAAAATTTCAAGGTAAGTTTAGCAATAATCCTATATTATTTGATGACATTGGTTGGAGGTTAGGGGGACTCCATTTTAATATGCATTATTTCTTATGCACCGGTGGTAAACTGGTACGCGTTTGGAATGATTCAATTATGTTTGAACAATTTTTATTATTGTTTCTCGATTTTAATTAGCGATGCCGCTGTTCAATATCTACCTATATTGGGAAATTACACAGTTTTATTGTTTTTTTATTATTACGAAAAGGATATCATTTGGTAGGTGATGTTTGGCTAATCTAATTTAAAAAGTATTAACCATATTCGAGGTTATTCTGGTGATATTTCAATATTCCATACCTATCGTAAATGGAAATTCAAATTTTTAGCATGTACCAACTCTATTATATTCATGTATGTTACCGGAGAAACCCGATTTTAGGATAAACTAATTTTTCCTACGCTAAATCAGGGTATCGAAAGAGACGCGGGTTTAAAAATCTATTATGCCGCGCTTAAAGACTTTTAGATAAGGAAAAGATTTTACCACAACAAGAGTTTCTAACATGATCGAACCCGAACCACCGAAAGCATAGGGAACACGTTACCGAATTTTATGAAAACCATATAGTTTTTCGAAAAATTCAAAAAATTCAATTTTTCATTAAAATGGAGTCCCCCTAACCTCCAACAAATGTTATCAAATGTTTTGTTGCCTCAAGTTTTTTTTGAAAACTTTCGGCGGTTTGCGCAATCGGAAGATATCCGAATTTGATATTTTTTTTATTATGCTAGTATACACCTACGGCAACTTTTGCGCGGTATAGCAAGCCGAAATTTTATTTTTGAGATTCTTCGATCCACTCTATTGTGCACAAACCCGAACTTTCAATCAGCGGTTCTCCGTAAACGTCCAATGTACCATTGTCGTGAATCACCCTGTATAGTTAATCCAACAAAATTAACGTTTAGTTTACTACGCGCAATTTGACGAACCGGTCCGTTTAAACTTGTTCACAAATAATCCCGCCGGTATCTAACCGACAATCTTCATCAAAGTTCCCAAAAATTCTATTAATACAACTATCTACAACACAAAACATGCTAAATTAACCAAAGCGACCTAACTAATACGCACCACGGATTATTAATTTCGACATGAACTATATCTTTGAATGCAAAAACCACCTAGTTCGGTATTACTTCTCTCCGTTCCTTCTGCTAATTATTATTAATATTAACATGAAACTGTTTGCTTTGAAATATTTGCTGCTAATCTCGTGTGCTTTGATGTATCTTGGTCCCATTTTCAACGGCTGCGACGCTAAAAGAAAAGTAATCTAATTTAAGTGGAACGTACAGGGTGATCTGAAACATCAATATTCTGAAAAAGCTCCATATCAGGTATAGTCTGTCCAATGGGAGGGTGACCCTTTTAATTTTAATTTGCAGGTAAATTGTATTTTCGGTAATTTTTTAGATGTCGTCTGTCAAAATCTTACCCGAACCGTTCGTCGGACGGACTAGTCTATTTGAGATTTTCATTCTATATCTCTTCATATAAAATATGGAAGTCATAGTGACAGACATTTCTAAATTCATTTTGTAGATATAAAAGAAGATATTTTTTACACTAAAATTTTTAGTTTTTTTTGTCAAATGGAACCGTGTATATTTTTTTCGCTCAATGAATTTGTCATTATTTTTTATATACAGGGTGAGTCTTAAATAAGTGCAAATATTTTTAGGGGTTATATATTTCGGTCCCAGAAACACGTGTTGAGTGTCGTGTGAGTTTTTTTCTGCGAAAAAATTTGGAAAATTTGGATTTATTTTTAATTTTCAGTTAAAAAATATAATATCCTCATAATATGGCAACATAGGTAGTAGATTCATTTTACAAGAAAGAAAACGCAAGAAAAATCTAACCGGTCTCAAAATTTAAACAATTTTTTTTTTGAAATTTTCAAAGTAAAATATCTCGGTTATTTTGGACTTATTTAAAAAACGGTAAAACGGTTAAGACTCACCCTGTAATATATTTTATACCCCCATATATCTTAAACGTTGTACATATTTTCACTTCACTCGCTCAGGAGGCAAAAAATTTTAGTTATTGTTGAATTAATTAATAAAAGTGTCTTTCTGTTTATTAGTTATGCAAAAACCTAAACTATTTTGTATATACGGTGAGTATACAATATCTTATATATTTTTTTCAAGCTATTTTACCTTATCATATAGGTACAGTATGTTTCCAAATTGTCTTTACAAAAGGATTTTTTTTATTATTAACAGTTTGAGAAAAATGTATTCCTCATAAAAATGTTTCCTTGTTCTAAAATAGTTAATTCCGTTTATGGATTTCAAACCGTAAATAGAAATGGTGAACGCTTAGTAATAACATACACAGAGTACAATCTTTGCATCACCAATACATGGTTCATGACAAGTTTAAGGGAACCTGGAAACATCCCAGATTAAGCCACTGACATCAACTGGACCACGTAATCGTTCGAACGACGCTTCTAAAAGTTGTCAGACTCGAAAAAACCAGAACAGATGCCGAATATGGTACTGACCACCGAATCATAATTTCAAAAGTGAAAATCCGATTAAAACCCAAACATCCACACTGTAAAAAGCAAAGCAACACGACCAGATTGAACGTATGAAGTCTAGGGAACAAAGATCTACATCCGACGCCCACCGTAAAGCCATCAAAGAATCACCTCCACCGATAACCTCAATAACGACCTCAATAACGACCTCAATAACGACCTCAATAACGACCTCAATAACCTCAATGCTAGACGCAACTGAGGGATGCGATTTGTAATACCAGCGAAGCAGTACTGGGAAAATCCAACAAAAAACAACCAGACGGGTTTATCGAAAATCAACCGCATATACAGGTTGTGCTGGACATAAAATAATTAACTAGAAAGAAGTGTCAACTCTGTGTTAAATCGTGGAAACACGATACGCCACCGAAAGCCTTCGTTGTCGTCTGGAGAACTAATTTTCCAATTGACAGGTTGACATGATAAGGACATGATGGCTTAAATTTCATTTTCGTTTCCGGTTATTCAATGGCGGGCCCTCTTTCAGTTCAAATGTATTTTGTATTTTTTCTTTTCATAAATAAAACCAAAAAATAATTTATTCACATATATTTATTTGAAATATGGAACAACGTGACTAAATAAATATAAAAATATAGAGGATTGTATTGTTTCAATACCAATTATTTAATTACATGTACTTTTAACGTAAATTAGTTAAGGTATAAGCATGACTTACATTAATTTGTAAATAAACACACGTATTCGCAGACTTCAAGGACAGAAAACGGACACAGGAACATGAAAACGGGAGCCTTATACAAAAACCTGAAAACAAAAAAACAATTTTTTTTATACTAAAATTAACAATGTAAAAATATCAATAGGTATAAAATATAAATATACTGTTTAAAAAAGCGTCCATTATTCCCAAAGAGACCTGGCTTATAAATCAAAAAGAAGCAAAAAGAGGCTTTTAGTCGGATAACATAATCATATTATCAGTCCGATTTATTGCATTATTGACAATAAGTCGCACATACTGGAGATAACTAATGTTGGCTATAGTTAAAAATGATCTTACCTTACTGTAAATTGTTTCCATTTTCAAAAAAATCGCCGATCAAAGAGACTATAACACCATTTTCTTGCATCTAAAAAATGTAAAAACAGTGTTTATTTACTACCTATTTTTCATATACATGGGACATACCTACTACTGCAGAAACGTCATTTTCTCCAGGATTCTTCATGTAATATATATTTTATATACTTTATTACCTTTATATTTATAAATTTCAGCCGAAATATTAAATTGAACTTCCAAAACGAAACTAAACGGAATGAATTAAAATGGCGTCGAATATTTTCGAATTTGTTCTAGAACAAATCTGAAGTTGTCTCTGAAACTGAAATCTGTCAATTCTAAACTGTGAAGTTAGACAATAGTTAGACAAAAACAATGCTGTCCTTGTCTAGGCGGCCATACTTGTCGTCAGGAGAATGACAAGAATGACACTAATGACTGTTTCCAATTTTCCTATTTCACTGTCACCCCCCTGGTGCTGGATCAAAATATAGAGCACATTAAGCAGTCACTGGAAATCCACAGAATCCAACGCTAATGGACCACTTTAAAGCAGCCAACAACACTCTTCGAAGAAACATGCAAAAACTTGTGGTCGAAAAAAGCTAATCAGATTCAAGAGTATGCCGCGTATCACAACTATTTTTAA